CTCATGCACTGATAGAAGGAATGTAAAACAGTGCTGCCACTTTGAAAAACAGATCACAGTTTCTCAAAAAGGTAAACATGGAGTCACCATACAACCTAAAAATTTCACTCCTACTTGTAGACCTAAGAGAACATATGCATATACAAACACATGTACGTAAGTATTCAGAGCAGCTTACTCACAACAGCCCCAAACTTAAAATAATTCATCAATTGAGGAATGAATAAGCAAAATGTGGTATATCCATGTCATGGAATATTATTCAACCTTACAAATGAAATGAAGTATTGATCATGCTGCAACATGGAGGATATTTGAAAACACAATGCTAAGGGGAAAAAGCTAGGCACAAAAAGCCACATATTGCATGATTCCATTTTTATGAAATGTCCAGAACAGCAAATCTGCAAAGACAAAATTAAATTAGTGGTTACCAGGGATTGGTGAATGAGAGGGTTAGGGAGTTACTGCTAATGGATATAAGATTTCTTTTGCAGATAGTGAAAATGTTCTGGAGTTAGGTAATGGTGATGATTATATAGCATTGTGAATATATTAAAAACCACTGAATTATACCCATTAAAAGTGTAAATTTTATGGAATGCAAATTATATTACAATTCTTAAAAATATTACATATCAAAACTGTATAACTCAAAGGTACACACAGAAAAAAAATAATGAAGTAAGCATCTAATTTAAGAAGTCATAAAATTACAATTGCATCAAAAAGAATAAAATACCTAGGAATAAATCTGACTAAGAAGGTAAAAGACCTGTTCTTGGAAAACTTCAAGACACTGATGAAAGAAACTGGAGAGGACACAGACAAATGGAAAGCTATACCATGCTCATGAACTGGAAGAGCTAATACTGTTAAAATGGCCATACTACCAAGACAATCTACAGATTCAATGCAACCCCTATTACAATACTAATGGTATTTTTCACCAGACTAGGACAAATAATTCCAAGATTTGTATGGAAACACAAAGATCTTGAATAGCCAAAACAATATTAAGAAAGAAGAACAAAACTGAGGCAGCACACTCTTTTACTTCAAGCTATACTACAAAGCTACGGTAATCAAAATGGTATGCACAGGTTGCTTTGTGTCCCACTTTGGACACCATGTATTGTCAACTAAAAAAAATATAGAAAACTGCTAATAAGAATAAAGGATCTATTTGGGTTCTTTAAAAAACAACAACAACAACAATATGGTACTGGTATAAAAACAGACACACAGATAATGGAGTAGAACAGAAAGCCCAGAAATGAACCCACACTTATATGGGCAATTAATCTATGACAACGAAGTCAAGAATACACAATGAGGAAAAGACAGCCTCTTAAATCAGTGATGTTAGGAAATCTGAAGAACTACATGCAAAAAAAACAAAACTCAACTATTTTCTCACACCATATACAAAAATAAACTCAAAATGGAATAAAGATTTAAATGTAAGACCTGAAACTATAAAACTTGTAGAAGAAGCCATAGGCAATACACTCTTTGACATCAGTCTTAGTAATATTATTTTGGATCTGTCTCCTCAGGCAAGGGAACAAAAGCAAAAATAAACAAATGGGACCACATCAAACTGAAAAGTTTCTGCACAGCAAAGGAGACCACCAACAAAATGAAAAGACTGCCTACTGAACAGGAGAAAGAAACTCATAGGAGATCACATTTATGGTAATCAGTGGCGAGGGGTAGAGACAGAGAGAATTGGATGAAGGTGGTCAAGATACACATTTCCAGTTATAAAATGAATAAATACTAGGGATACAATGTATAACATGATAAATATAGCACTGCTGTATGTTAGATATGAAAGTTGCTAAGAAAGTACATTCTAAGAGCCTAAGAGTTCTCATCAAAAGGAAAAAATACATTTTTTTCTATTTCTTTAATATTGTATCTATATGATATGATGGATATTCACTAAACTTATTGTGGCCATCATTTTATGATGTATGTAAATCAAATCATTATGCTGTACATCTTATACAATGCTGAATGTCAATATATCACAATAAAACTGGAAGGAAAAAATGTCATAAAATAAATTCTAGAAATAAACCCAAAGAAAGCAGATGAATGAAATAACAAGCAAGAAAGATTCATAATATGGAAAAAAAATACTAGAAAGAATAAAGTAAAAAATCATTTTATTTTAAAGACTTATATTAACAAACCCCTCACAGGATTAATAAAAACAAAAGAGACAATGAATAAAAGAGATGTTATCATTACAGATGAGGTAAAGTATATTAAGGATAACTTCATGTTAATAATTGAGAAAACAAGATGCAAAGGATCTAGAAAATAAAACTCCTCAAAATAGTTTCAAGAGAAAGCAGAGGATCTGAAAAGTTCAATGACCATAAAAGATATTCAATATCAAAAGTTAATCTTCACAAATAAAAGAGCAGGCCTGGTAGTTTTCTAGACCAGTTCCACCAAACATTCAAGCAAGAAATCATCCTCACCTTATGCAAACTCTTCCAGAAAAACAGGAAAAGAGAACATTTCCCAGTTCACTTTGCCAGCCAAATATAGCACCCATATCAAAACTAGATAAAGTAAGTATGAGAAAAGGAAACTATTGGCAAACCTCACTCATGAATGTGGATGTAAAATTATTGTATAAAAAATTTATATCATTACTCTGTTGTTTTATCTCAGGAATGTAAGGTTAATTTAATATGAGAAAAGTGATCAATGTAACTTATTGTTTTAACGGGTAATTTAAAATAGCTAATTCTAATAATAAAGTTATTTCATAACATTAAGTTTCATTACTCTCATAAAAGGTGCATACACACACACACAAAAAAAACCTAGAGTAGAAAAGTTTTTAGTGATGAAATCTATAGTCAACATTTAATAGTAAAAACTTTTCCTTTGAAAGAAGGGTAAGACCAGAACATAGTGAGCGCTAGTGGGCATGCAGCAAGTCTGGCCAGCAGATTAAACAAGAGTGAATATGTAACAAAAGTTACAAGCATTGAAAAGAAACAAATTTATCATTATTGGCAGATGCTATACTGTCAGTTAGAAAACCAAAACACACACAGAAAAATGAGTAAAATTCATTACAGTTTAACAAGCTTGCCAGATGTAGAATAAACTTAGAAGGTCAGCTGCATGCTACAGTATCAGCAATGACCTGGCAGATGCCATTTAAAAAGAGATACCATTTACAACAACAACAAGATGATAGAGTACCTAGGAACAAATCTCAACAGATGTATAAGCCCTTTACAATGGAAATTATAAAATTTTATTGAAAGACACTAAAGATCAAAATAAAGAGACATAGCACATTCTTGGATAAGAAGAATCAAAATTGGAAAGATGTCAATTCTCCCCAAATTGGTCTATATAGTCTATGCAATTCCAAATTAAAATCTCAAAAGGGCTTTTTGTAGGACTTGGTAAACTGATCCTAAAATTCACACAGATGAAACAAAATCAAAAAAAGAAAACCAGAAAGAAAGAACAAGAGGAGCTAAGAGACTCTTGAAGAAGGAATTCATCCTGTCCAAATGCAGGATTTATAAAGCTTAGTTCCACAACCAGGACTCAAACATGCACCCCCCTACCCTGGAAGCACAGTCTTAACCACTGGACCACAGCAAAGTCCCCAGGACTTATAAATCTATAGCTACTAAACCAATGCACAAGGAGCAAAGGGGTAGGCCAAGGGACAGAAAGGCAACTCAGAAACAGACCCACCTATGTGGGAACTGTATGGCAGGGCTGGACCTGCAGGGAAGGGACAGACTTCCCAGTAAACGGTACAGGGAACAGTGGTCATCTGTGTGGGGAAGAACTGAAATTAGATTCCTGCGAGGGAGAAGAGTGCTTGAACACAGAGGGCTGGGAGCCAGGCTGAGAGCTGCTGGAGGAGGCAGGACGTGAGAACAAAGCAGCGGTGGTGGATTTGACAAAACCAAAGGGACAAGGAGCAGCTGCAGCAGCGTGGTGGGGATGCAAGGTGGACTGGAGTGGGTTAAGCACTGAACTGGAATGAGGAAGGAGACGGGGAGGGAGGCCATCTTGAGAAACTTCACTTTGAAGGGGAGCAGAGAAATGAGCGGGGAAGTGGGTTCCAGACTGTTTGGAGGCAGGCAATTTTCCCTGGTGACCCAGAGCGTGAGGCGACGGATGAAGGAGCCTGAGGGAGAACAGGGTCTAGAGCACAGGTCAGGGGCGGGGGTGCCCCTGGTCGGGCACAGTTCTGCCACTGTCACAGGCAGGAAGGCAGCAAAGACGGGCACAGGTCCGGACAGGCTGGGGGACTTGGAGGTGGGACTATGAGGGGGTGTCCTGTGAAATCAGACAACAGTGACAGTGAGGAGGCAGGTCTGAGGAGAGACTGGGAACATACTAGCCAACAGTGGAATTGCTGGGCTCATACAAAGTGCATATCTGAGGTCTGCGGCTGTGAATTTACAGGGGAAGTACTGCCCTAAGGGTGTGATTTCTCTCTAGGCCCGGTCAGCGGTTCTGGAGCCGGTGGAGAGGGTTCAATTAGGATTATGGTTGTGCCAGGTAAGAGGACCAGAGGGAGCCAGGAGCCAAGAAACTCGTTTGCAGGGACAGCATTAAAATGCTGACTCCAACCTGGCAAGGCTGAGGATGCTAACGTGTTAAGAAGAAAAGGCAGGGTGGCAGAGGAAGGATACCCATGGACCCCAGGGAAAGGTGCCAGAAGGACAAAGGAGGGAGACAGTGGGCCAGGAGGAAGGTCCAGAATGAGGAGTGACAGGAGGTGGCCGGACAGCAAGGAAGTCTCCTCTGTCAGCACCCCGAGCTCAGGCTCCAGCAAGGCAAAGGTGGCTCTTGGGAATTTACACATTTTCATCCTCAAAGCAAATCTGCAAAACCAGCACAACTACCCCTATCTTACAGGTGAGGAAACTGAGGCTCAGAGAGAAGACATGTCTTGTCCAGGGCAGCAGGGCCCAGGAACCCGCCCCCCAGGTCACCTGGGTAGTTGCGGCAGCCCCCCGCGGTGCTCCCCCGCCGCCAGGTGCCCTCGTACAGGGTGGTGTTCCAGTTGCGGAACTTCTGGCTCTTGAGCGCATCGGGCGTCAGGTTGCAGATCTCCAGGCGGGTGAATTCACGCATGAAGTCTCGGAATGACATCCTGGGGGGTCAAGGTGAGAGTGAGCCAGTGTGTCCAGTCGGAGCATCAAGAGACATGGCACAGCTGGGTTTCGGGAGGGTTGGGAGCTGGGGTGCCCACTCAGACTGAGGAGGGGGCTGCTCACCAGAACTCCCCATCCTCCATCTTGATCCGGAGCTGCTCCCGCACATAAGGGTCCACACCATTCCATTCCGAGGAGCTGAGGGAAAAGGGCATTGCCAGGGGCTGGCGGCCACTGACCTGCCCAGACTCTGTCCCTGGGGACCTGTCCTTCCCTGGCCCGGGTCAGGAGGCCTCCACAAGGTCAAGTCCAGAGACCCCAGTCCCAGAGGTTATCTTATGAGGGCCAGGTCAGATGCCCCGAGGATGCTCGTAGGCGGGCACAGCCGCCCGCATGCACAGCCTAAGCTTTGCCAGGGCAGTCCCCAGACCCAGTCACACGCAGATGGGCCCCTCTGTTCAAACCTGAGTCCACTGTGGGCTGGCAGAGACCCCAGCAGAAATGCCAGTGTCACTGAACAGTCTTCCCAGGCCTCCCCGGCCAGCGTCCGTAGCCCCTCACCCGTCACTCCAGGCTCCCGTCCACTCCACCTCGCCCCAGGGGTTCCGCATCCGGATCAGGTTCACCATCTGGCCCTGGTAGTTCACCTGTTCCCCAGAGCTCCCGTCAGCGCCTGCTTCTGGCACATACTTTAACACCCCTTCCCAGCACCTCATCCTCACAGAGCCCAGCTCAGCACCCAGCAGCCACCGTCAGAAGCGCAGCTGAGAAGCCTGTCTGGGCATAAACTGCTGAGGGAGGCAGACCTACACACCAAGTACAGTAAATCAGGGTGGGACAAGATAACCATCTCTGGGTGAGAGTCCCCGGGAGATAGGGAAGGTGCTGCTGGAGGTCACGGGGAGAGTCGGCCTCTCCCACAGCCTTGGCCACAGGCCAGAGAGGCAAGGAGGCTGGAACCACCCTTCGGGGAAGACCTCCATCTGGGGCGGTACCTGCTTGGCCCCAGTCACAGAGTAGGCGTGGCCCTTCACCAGCTTCTTGAAGGTGACGGCCTCCATGTCCAGAATGCTGGAGATCTGCAGAAAGACACACAGCTGCAGCCACTGTCCCCACCCCCATTCAGGAGATGAGCCCCGAGTCTTGGCTTTCCCTTGCATACACCCACAGTTACTGGGAGCGATAGGCAGGACCCCTGACCCCATCTCAGTCCCTGGAAGGGGGGCTGCTGGCGACTCCACCAATGTTACTGCTGGTGAGGGGGCCTGTGCACCCCACTGACACCGCTTTTGGCCAGAACTGGCCAGACCCTGGACAAACATGTGTGAACACAAACATACAGCCATGCAAAGCCTCTCCCCTCACCCAGGAGCCACGAGGTCCTCAGAGGACCTCATGTGGAGGGACACAGGGAGGCAGAGAAGAGGGGTGAGCAGAGACTGGAGTCAGGTAGGACTGGGGAAGAGCACAGCGGCAGGGTTAGAGTGGAGAATGCAGTGATGGTGGGGGTGGAGGCTGAAATCAAGGATGAGGGGGGTCTGAAGATGAGTCGGGGAACATAAGAGCAACTGAAGGAACGAATGGGGAGCATGGGGCCCACAGGAGCTGGGACTCAGGAAGAGCTAAGGTCAGGCTATGAACTGGACAGTGAATGGGCATGGCCTCAGATGACAGGAAAGAGGAAGTCGAAAAACATGCTGAGGTCTGAGGTTTTGGGGACCAGGAGGAAGCCAGGCATGGAGGTGGAGGACAGGACTGAGTTGATAAGCGAGGCTGGGTGAGGATCCGGGGATGGTGTGAGGTGAAGGACAGGATCTGGAGCCAAGCCCGCAGAAAGTCTGAGGCTGGGCTGAGTAGAGAGAAGGAACCACTAGGAGACTCAGGATGGGGGAGGCACTCACATCGATGGAGCAGCCCAACAGGGAGCCACGCTCCAGGGCCTTGAGGATGATGTTGTAGAGGTCGCTGGGTGCCTTCCGCAGCTCATACCACTCGGTGACTCCGCCGGTGAAGTCCTCAAAGCCCTCAGAGGTGCTGCCTCCTGAGAGGGCCTCGTAGCTGCCATTCACCCTGGGGGTGGCACAGGTCAGCACTCTGCACGGAGCAGGACTCCCCACCCTGGGGGTGGCCCGGAGCTGTCCCTGGGCCCCCACTCACTTGGCATAGGCCTTCTCCAGCAGGGCGCTCCAGAACTCGTTGCCTTGGGCAGAGTGCACGAACACCAGCTTCCCATCCTTGGTGGGCAGCAGGTCATCCACCACCACGTCCACCCACTCACCAAACTGCCACAGCTGGGGGAGAAGGGGCATAGTGAATCCCTGCTTTGAGATCCCTCAGGCCTGAGGTCAGGCCTCAGCAGCTCTGCCACTCACTAGATATCTGATTCTAGGCCATGCATCCTAGACACAGGATCTGAACAAGTCATCCTCTCCCAGCCTGTTTCCCTCTCCACAATGCCTTCCTGATGGGAAAACTAAACAAGATTAGGCAGGTAACGCTTGTAAGGCAGCATTGTTGATATTTTTGCCTCTTCAGGTACAGAGACGTTGCAAAACCCTTGGACCTTGCCTCTGCTGGGACCTACCATGACCCCAGACTTTCCCCTTCCCCACCATTCTAGGTCAGGGTGTGTGTGTGTGTGTGTGTGTGTGTGTGTGTAGCGAATGGGGATAGTGTGTGTGTGTGTGTGTGTGTGTGTGTGTGTGTGTGTGTGTGTGTGTGTGTGTGTAGCGAGTGGGGATACCTAGGCAAATTAGATTCGGAATGAAAATGCGGGTGTGTGTGTGTGTCTGTGTGTGTAGGGGGGTGGGGATACCTAGGTAAATTAGGTGTGGAATGAAAATGCAGGATCCAGATCCTTCAACCACAAGGGGGACTGGATTCCCACAATCGCGGGCTTACTTCAAAGATGCCTTGAAAGGCAAGTTTCCCAGTGGGGGAAGGAGTTCCCCCATCCCAGGCCAGAAGTGACTGTGCTACAGCACTGGGGGCCGTGAGTGTGCAAAACAATGGGGCAAAAGGGAGGAGGTGCACCCACAGCGCTGGGTGTGGAGGAAGTGAACGGCCCGATCAGAGGCCGCGGAGGAATGGATTGGCGGAGTGAGAGGAGCGGGTGGGAAAAGGGCAGCGAGGCCACGCCCCTGCGGACCCGCGCAAGTCAAGCCATAGGCGCCAAGGCGGGTGACGGTTAGGGCAAGGTGCTCCCTGACTAGACGGAAGGAAAGGACACCAGTACCAGGGGGTCTCATCCAGGGTTGCTGGGCCTGTCTCTTCCCCAGAATGAGCCTACTGAGAATTCATCAGTGTGATTTGAAAAGTGGGCCCTGTGCGCCAAGAGCATCAGGAAAAGCTGGTTTAAATAAACTTTATCCCGAGTCTTTCTTTTCCGCAGGGCTGGAGACTGCCAGCGTGCAGGAGGAGTTGGAAGTGAGGGGGTCGGGGGAAGACTGAGGCCAAGGGTGTAGATGGCCACAGGTGATGGCCGATTTTCCCCAGCGGAACACTATTTCTCAGACAGGGAAACTGAGACCCTGAGGAGGAAAAGGGTTTGTCCCACAGGACATAACCCAGAGAATTTTCTCCTCTTCTGAGCACTTTTTTTTCCCTCCAGTGTGCACAACCAGCCAGGAAAACTGCCAGCCAAAATACCTGCCCAACTGTTTCACACATGACAGATTCTCTCTCACACATGACAGATCTGAGATGGAATCAAGAGGTCAAATACTTTTGGGGTGGGGGTGGGGGCTGGTCCCGCAAGGAGCGGCCCTGAGCCACCCTAACTTCAGGGTTCCCCCTGCCCATCTCCAGTGCCTGCTACCCCTCTCTCCCTCACCACGCCCCCCCCCACCTTGTCCAAGGTGCATGTGGGGCTCTCACCTGGAAATGGAAGATGCCAGCATAGCCATCCTGGAAGCTTTGGCCATGTGGGACTACTCGGTGCAGGAGGGTGTCATTGAGGGTAAGGGAGGCGATGGCAGCCAGGAGCCAACAGTCCCCTGGGATGGGAAGGATCCACGTCAGGTCTACTCTACCCGTCTTCACCCAGTGAGTGCCAGCCTGGGGAGAACCTGGGACTCCCGGGCAGGGTGCCCCTCAACTTACAGAAAAGACCCAAGAATCTGGGCAAACCAGCCCCAGCACTGAGAGCCAGAGCCTGCTTGGGCTTGCAGGAGGGAGAGGCTGAGGCAGAGCAGGAAGGAACGGGCACAGGGAACTGCCACGGAAAAAACACTCGGAATCCCCCAAGGCCTACCCAGCGCGCCCTGGCAGATGTCCGTGCGGGTGGCTCCATCCACGATGAACTGGGGGTTTGAGAACAGCTCCTGCAAGAGACCCAGAGTCCTGTCTCTGGGCCAGCCCCTCCTAGAAACTGGAACCCAGCCAGCCCAGACCCCACTCTAGGGACCTGGCGTCCTATTCCCACTCCTCGCCCAGGAAGGGGGTAAAATGAATCCCACCCAGGGTGGCCCCTCTCACCGTGGGACGCTTCCACTTGATGCCATAGGTTTTGGAGGAGTTGGGGCCCAGCTCCTTGAAGCCCAGGCTCTGGGGCACCGGGGGGAAAGCCTCGTCACGGAAGAGGGCCCCGCTTTGCAGGCAGTGAACCCGCAGCTGCTCGTAATCCTGGCCCAGGTACTTGATGGCATTTTCATGGCGGCCCAGGCCCAGCCCCTTGGCCCGCTGCTTCTGCACTTGTGCAGACACCCCGGTGCAGTACACCGGAGTGATGAACTCCTCGGCCATCCTGTGGGACAGAGGGGCCCGGCTCAGAACCCAGGCCTTCCCAGGACTAGAGCTGGGGCTCCTATCTGCTAACACTGCTCTCTGGCCCGCTGCCATCCTTTCTCCCCAAGCCTGTGGTTTCCCCGCCTCCTCACTAAATTAGGGCTGGCAACCATACCTCTCTGCTCTCAGAATCCGCGAGAGGGGGCTTCCCATCCCCCAGGTGCGCTGGCCACCATCTCCCTACCCCCACCCAATGCACCTCTCGGTTCCCAGACTCCCATTGTCCCGGGTCTGCAGGCCTGCGGTCAGCCAGTCAGGTGGGGAAGGGCGGGGCCCGAGATAATAGCACAAGGAACGAGGAAGGTGGGAGACCCCGAGGCAAGTCCTCTTTGAATGTCCAGACTAGCCAATCGCCTAGGCACTGGCCCCTTTCCCAGGCTTGGGGGCTGATTAGTCCAGGCAGTCCAGGGTCCCCCTCCCCAGGCTGCTGAGACGGGTTGAAGGATCAGGGCTGCTCGGCCTCAGTCCTTTCCCCTCCCGCCCGCCCCCAGTCCAGCCTCTGGAGACAGTGAGGAACGCAGCCTGGGGCGGGCTCCGGAGCCTTGCGGTTCCCGAGCTCCCGCCCCGTCGCAGGCACTCAGAGAGCCAGGGGGGAAGGCAGCCCCGCAGCCAGGATCCAGGCCAATCTGGGGGAACACCGGGCCGGCCTCACCCTCCTTACCTGGGGGAGGAGTGTTGGGGGGTCGCTGCGGTACCTGCGCTGGCTTCCCGGGTGGCAGCTGAGGACAGGGCCCAACCAGGAAGAGCGCTCCTCCCCGCCCTCCTCCGCCCCTCCCTTCTCCTCCTCCTCCTCGGGCTTCCACCCGGCTTCCTCTCCGCCCTCCCTTCTCTCCCGGCACCTTCTCCGACGATCTCTCTAACTCACGGTATCTCCCCGGCCCTCCTCCGCAGACGCCGGGCCAACTCCGCGAGAGGACAAATTAGTCAAAGGCAGAGTCGTCCCCGGGGAGCGGCCAGCGCCTGTCGGGTTGGGGAGGGCTGGGGCCCGGCCGCCTGGGCCGCACGGGGGAGCGGAGGGGGAGGACGCGACAGGGGGTATTTTTAACCAGGGGCAGCAGCTCGAGTTGCAAGGCCGGGCGGCCCCACCCCACGCGGCGGCTCCGGAGGGCATTCCCGGGAGTCCAGCCCTGAGGCGCCACCTCCCGCAGCCCGGGGTCCGTCCCCCTCCCCTCCGCGGAGCCGCAGCTGTCCCCCCACACGGCCCCCGCCCCGCGCGCCCCTAGTGTGCGGCCGAGATTACCTCGGGCTGCGGCAGCTGCTCGGAGGAGGGGCCGGGCCGGCGGCGGGCAGACCCCTGCCGGACGCTCTGCAAACGGCAGCCCCACCCCGCCGGGTCCTCGCCGCAGCCCGGCTCCTGGGCTGGGCCGGTTCCCCGCCCCCACCCCGCCCCCGCGCCCCGGGGCGCAGGCTCGCAGCGTCGCCGCCCCGTTTTAGCGGCTCGCGGTATCCAGGCGGGGCTCGGGGAATCGGTGTCCCGGACCCGGGCCGGCTGCGTGTCCTTGGATGAGTCCCTGCCCCTCTCGGCCTTAGTTTCCCCATTCGCGCCGCGAACGGGATGAAATGAGGAACTGCGGGATCCCATCTTGCGCTCTGAGGTTTCTTGTACCCGGAAATTGCGAGAGGCCGGCATCCTTGCCCTCTCCTCCTGGCCCTCCCTCGCCCACCCACCTGGGAACGCCCGTGTACCGCTTTACCCGGGAGAGGGCGGCAGAGGCTGCGAGGCGGACAGCGGGCCCACCCGGGACCGGGAGAGACCCTGCCACCTGAGATGCAGAAGTAGGAGGGACGGAGGCCGCAGCGGATCCTCGGCTCAGGGCTTTTGATTGACCTTGGGGGCCCCAGCCAGGAAGGTCGCGGCCCTGACATGATGTTTTCTTGTTGTTCAGTCCCTAAATCGTGTCCGACTCCTTGTGACCCCGTGGACTGTAGCCCGCCGGGCTCCTCTGTCCATGGGATTTCCCAGACAAGAGTACTGGAGTGGGTTGCCATTTCCTTCTCCAAGGGATCTTCCTGACCCAGGGATCGAACCCCGCGTCTCCTGCGTTGGCAGGCATTGGCAGGTGGATTCTTTACCACTGAGCCACCAGGGAAGCCCCTTATGTGATGTACACACAAGCCTTTTGTTGGGGAAACAGTGCATAGCCTTCCTCGCTTTTGAGGGCCCATGACCCCAGGAAGGTTAACGGCCTCTGATCTAATCTGACTCTATCTCACTCCTAGTGAACAGATGAGGAAAACTGAGGCCTAAGAGTGCGGGTTGCTGATCTCCTTCAGCTGGTGAGTCAGGCCTGGAACCAGCTTCTGAGCTCTTTGCTCATCACCTTTGGGCATTTATGTGTCCAATCTTGACCAAACCCTTCTGACAGGTCTTTGCATAGCAGACCCATGACTAAGGCAGACCAGGCCCGGCTAGAGGAGGCTGCTCTCCTGGTTCAGCTTTGGGGTTTAAGAAAGGTGAATCCTATTGGAAAAGTAGGGTTAACTAGGCAGTGAGGGGCTGGAAAGAGTGTTCCAAACTGAAAGAACTGTGCGTGTGCAAAGGTCCGGTGGCTGGGGGGACACAGGTCAATCAGGAGACCGCAGTTGTTTCTTGTGACTGGAACGCAGGGAACAGGGGCCTGGGAGACGCTCTGGAGAGGTAGCCAAGGCCACCGTTCCCCTCAAAGCACTCTGGCTCAACCTATGTGCCCCAGAGTCCCCAGATTACTTTCACTAAACTGTCACTCCAGCTGACTGTGTTTGACTGTTCACCAAATGGGCACTGACCACCTCCTGCATGTGCAAGGCACTGTGGTCACCTGGACATCAGATGCTGAAGACCCAAGGCCTTGGCTCCCTCTGAAGGAGGCAGACATTGACTCAGCTCTTACACCCATGATTAACTGGGAAGAAGAACGATGTGAAGGAAGCCTGTGGCTGAAGCCCTTGCTAATCCAGGGTATTAGAGTAAAGATAAATCAGACAAAGGAGTTATGGCAGGGACGGGAGAGATGCCAGGTAGGGGAAATAGTCACCTTGGCGTATGGAGGAACTAAAATATTCTGAGTGTTGCTTGAGCTGAGAGAGAAAGGGAGAGGAGAGTTGTGGCAGGGCTGGGTGAGCCATGGAAGATGGATTTTGTTCTACCTGAGGTAGAAGCCCGCTCAGATTTGTACAGATGATGGAGGAGCATGCCTGGCAGTGGGTGGCTCAAACTCCAGAGGTGGTAGACATAAGAGAGAAAGAGATGGATTTGAAAACTATTTATTAATAGGATATACCATATCAAAATTTAACTCAAATTGGATTATACACCTAAATATAAACCCTAGAAGTCTAAAACCTCTAGAAGAGGGACTTCTCTGGTGGTCTGTGGCTAAGACTCCCTGCTCCCAGTGCAGGGAGCCTGGGCTCAATCCCTGGTCAGGGAACTAGATCCCACATGCCACAGCTAAAACATCCCCTATGCCACAACTAAGATGCAGTGCAGCCAAATTTAAAAAAAATAATAATAACAACAACCTCTAGAAGAAAACATTGTTCAGTCACTAAGTCTTGACTGACTCTTTGTGACCCCATGGACTGCAGCATGCCAGGCCTCCCTGTCCTTCGCTATCTCCCAGAGTTTGCACAAACTCATGTCCATCGAGTCAGTGATGCCATCCAACCATTTCATCCTCTGTCTTCCCCTTCTCCTCCTGCCTTCAATCTTTCCCAGCGTCAGGGTCTTTTTCAATGAGTTGGCTCATTGCATTAGGTAGCCAAAGTATTGGAGCTTCAGCTTCAGCATCAGTTCTTCCAAAGAATATTCAGGACTGATTTCCTTTTGGATGGACTGGTTTGATCTTCTTGCAGTCCAAGGGATTCTCAGGAGTCTTCTCCAGCACCACAGTTCTAAAGCATCAATTCTTTGCCTCTCAGCTTTCTTTATTGTCCGACTCTCACATCCATACATGACTACTGGAAAAACCATAGTTTTGACTATGTGGATCTTTGTCAGTAAAGTAATATCTCTGCTTTTTAATATGCTGTCTAGGTTTGTCATAACTTTTCTTCCAAGGAGCAAGTGTCTTTTAATTTCATGGCTACAGTCATTGTCCACAGTGATTTTGGAGACCAAGAAAATAAACTCTGTCTTAGGTTTGGTATCACATTGCTTTATATTGTAGTGTACTAACACATGACATACTTAGGATTTTTATAGTTCCTTTGACATCAATTAAAAGAAAATTGTATTACTTCTGCCTTTTATTCTTACGGCATTGGATATACAAGTGTTTCTCTTTGTTAATGTTAATATGAACTGTCTTCTGGAATCCCTAATGTTCAAGCTGAAGAACTCCTCCTGTAATTCCTGTGAGGCAATTGGCTACTAATACATTTTTTCAGTTGTTCTAGATCTGAGAGGATCTTTGTTTTGACTCTTATCTTTCAGAAGGTGGTTTTGGTCGAGATGGGATTTTGGTTGATAGTTTTTTTCTTAGCACGCCTTGAATGCTTCCCTCTGCCTTTTGGCCTCCCTGTTTTTTTTGCTGATATGTCACCTAATTTCACTGGGGTAATTTTACTGGTCATTTTTCAAATGCCCTTTATTCCCACTATATGGTTCCAACTCCTATTTCTGTGCATGTCTCATATTTCTGTTATAAACTAGATATTTTAAGCAATATAATGTAAGTACTCTGGGTACTGGACACATTTCTTCTGGACTTTGTTATAACGAGTACCAGCATTATCATTTTTTTGTTTGTTTTTGGGTGGAGAACCTGAGTAATTATCCAGCCTTATTTTAATGAAGTTTGATCCCCACGTTTTGAGAAGCCAGAGCTAGTGTATTGAATTAAGGATATGCAGGTTGTGATCTGCTTCCCTGCTGGTTCATCTGGTAAGGAAACCACCTGCAATGCAGGAGACCTGGGTTCGATCCCTGGTGGAGAAAATCCCCTGGAGAAGGGAAGGGCTACTCACTCCAGTATTCTGGCCTGGAGAATTCCCTGGACTGTATAGTCCATGGGGTTACAAAGAGTCGGACGCAACTGAGCAACGTTCACTTTCATTGGATTTGGTAAAGATTTCTTAAGTATGACACAAAAGTCCAGACAATAAAAGAAAAAAAAATTGAAATTTATTGAAATAAAACACTTTGTTCCTCCTCAAAAGGCACTATTATGAAAATGAAGAAAAACCACAGACTAGGAGGAAATAATTGCCAAAAAATATATCTGATGAAGGACTTGTATTTAGAACAAGGACTTGTATTTGTATATAAAGAACGCTTACAATTTAAAAAAATAATCCAGTAAAATTGGGTGAAAGATTTGAATAGACATTTCCCAAGAAGACATGTGATGGCAAATAAACACATGAAAAAATGTTTATTCATTGGAGAAGTGCAAATTAAAACAACTAGAAGGACCAACATTACAAACCCAGAATGACTAAAATTAAAAAGACTAGTCATGTCAAGCATTGGCAAGGACGTGGAAGAGTTAGAAATCTCATATGATGCTGGTGGGATACCACCACTTTGTTAAACAGTTTGGCAGTTTCTTTAAAAGCTAAACATATATTCAGCAATAAATGGAAATAAACTATCAAGCTACAGAAAGATGCCAGAACCTTAAATGCATATTGCTAAGTAAAAGAAACCAGTATGAGAAAACTATATACTGTATGATTCCAACTATATGACATCTGGAACTGGTATAACTACAGATGGTAAAGAGATCCATGATAGCCAAGCTTTCAGGGGAAGGGAGTACAGGGCATTTTTAGGGCACTGAAACTATTCTGTGTGATACTGTAATGGTAGATACATGACATTACATTAAACCCATATAATGTACAACACTAAGAGTGAACCCTGGGGACTTCCCTGGTGGTCCAGTGACTAAGACTCTGAGATCCCAGTGCAGGGTCCCCATATTCGATCCCTTGTCAGGAAACTAGATCCCACATGCCGCAACTAAGAGTTCAAATGTAACTAAAGATTCCACAGGCTGCAACAAAGAGGGAAGATCTTGCATGCAACTAAGACCTGGTCCAGCCAAGTAAAATAAACACAGTTTTTTAAACAAAGATGAACCCTAATGTAAACTATAGACTTTAATAACAATGTATCAATATTGTTTCATCAATTGTAACAAATAGATCACACTAATACAAAATGTCAATAGAGAAACTGTGTGCAGATAGGAAAGGGGGTACTGGAATTCTCTATACTTTCTGAGCAATTTTTGTGTAAACTTAAAACTACTCTTAAAAAAAATTAGTCTATCTTAAAAAAAAGAACAGTAAAGTTAAACATGGGCTTCCCAGGTGCTGCTAGTGGTAGAGAACCCACCTGCCAGTGCAGGAGACATAAGAGACCTGGATTTGGTCCCTGAGTTGGGAAGATCCCCTGGAGAAGGGCATGACAACCCACTCCAGTATTCTTGCCTAGGGAAACCCCGAGAACAAGAGGAGCCTACTGCGCTACGGTTCATAGGTTTGCAAAGAGTTGGACACAACTGAAGCAACTTAAGAGCATGCCTGTTAAATATACACCTATCATATGACCCAGCCATTCTACTCCTAGGCATTTCCCGAAAGGAAGTAAAAGCATGTGTCCATGCAAAGACTTGTGTGTGAATATTCATAGCAACTTCAATTGTAACAGCCCAAACTAGACATAACCAAATGTTCATCAACAAATTGTGACTGGATAAGCAAATTGTGGTGCCTATATATATACCACAGAATACTACTCAGTCATAAAAAGGAACAATGGCTAATCTCAGAATAATTATACTGAGTTTAATTTCAAATAATTATACTGATTTAATTGTACTTAATTATATATTATCTATTATATATTATTAATATATAATTATATAATATAATTATATATTAATTTTAATATATAAATATAAAATATAATTATATAATTATATTAATATAATTAATATTTCATATTATATTTTATATTTATAATTACATATCTTATATATTATATTTATAAGTAATCATACATTATATAATATACTTATATTTATAATTATATCATACATTATATATAATATATACTTATATATTATTAATTATTAACTATATTATTACTATAATTAATATTTATAATATATTTTATATTTATAATTATATATGTTATGTTTATATTTATAATTATATTATATATAATATAATTATATAATATATTAATTATTACTATAATTAATATTGTATATTTTATATGTTATATAATTATATATTATATATGCTTACCTATTTAGTTTTCCACCTGAGATTTAAAATGTCCTGTTGAGCCTCACTTAAATATTTAATTATACTTAATTTCAAATAATTAATGTCTTATAAGAAACAAGACAGAAAGTGAAGTGAAAATGAAAGTTGCTTAGTCCTGTCTGACTCTTTGTGACCCCTTGGACTATACAGTCTGTAGAATTCTCCAGGCCAGAATACTGGAGTGAGTAGCCTTTCCTTTCTCCACGGAATCTTTCCAACTCAGGGATCAAACCCAGGTCTCCCACATTGCAGGTGGGTTATTTATCAACTGAGCTATCAGGGCCTGATATATAATTCCATTTCTATGAAAATTCTAGGAAAATGATAGCAATTTAGTGATAGAAAGCAGACCAGTGGTTGCTGGGGGGAATGGGGGGCTGGCAGGTGGGAAAGGGTGGGAGGAAAGGATCACAAAGGGGCTTGAGGAAACTTTTGGGGGTAATGGATATGTCCCTTATTTGACTGTGGTACTGGTTTTGTGGTGGTATATATTGTCAAAACAAAAATGAACCTTGAATTATACATAGTTTATTGTATGTCAACTATACCTCAATAAAGCTGATAAAAACACCTATAGAACTTAGCCACTGATGGGATATGGCTCTGGAGAGACAGGGAGGAAAAAGACAACTCTAGACCATCTGAGTAGATTCATGGTGTAGGGGACTCTTATCTGGAGGGGATACTGGAGGATCAGGTTAGGGAGGTACCTGTGGGACCCTAAAGGAAATCAGTCCTGAATATTCATTGGGAGGACTGATGCTGAAGCTGAAACTCCAATACTTTGGCCACCTGATGAGAAGAACTGACTCACTGGAAAAGACCCTGATGCTGGGAAAGATTGAAGGCATGAGGAGAAGGGGATAACAGAGGATGAGATGGTTGGATGGCATCACTGACTTAATGCACATGAGTTTGAGCAAGCTACGGGAGTTGGTGATGGACAGGGAGGCCTGGTGTGCTGCAGTCCATGGTGTCGCAAAGAGTTGGACACAACTGAGTGACTGAACTGAGAAAGCTGTGGGACCCGCCCTCATCCAAGGGGAGATGCTTGGGGGTGGGAATAGCCCTCAGAACAGAGGAACAAATTTGGGAGTCATTGGCCATCATGCCACCTGGAAGAAGTAGAGGCAGGGAACAGACATGTCATTCTGGACACAAAGATGCTTCATAAAGATGTCTGTTCTTAAAGTAATCTATAGATTGACCAAATTAAAAATTCTAGGGACTCTCCTGGTAGTCCAGTGGTTAAGACTCCAAGCTCCCAATACAGAGGACGTGGGTTTGATCCCTGATTGGGGAACTAAGATTTTCTATGCCACATGGCTCAGCCAAAAAGAATTAAAAATTCAAACAGTTTAAAAAAAAAACTCTAAGAGATTATTTGGGGAAAAGAACTAGAAAAACTGATTTAAAGTTCCTATGGAAAACTGAACAAGCAAGAATAGCCAAGAGACTTCTGAAAACAAGTTAGGGGTCTAACCCTGTGAAAGTAAGTGTTAGTCACTCAGTCAAGTCCTACTTTTTGTGACTCCAGGGACTGTAGCCGCCAGGCTTCTCTGTCCATGGAATTACCCCAGGCAAGAATACTGGAGTGGGTTGCCATTCCCTTCTCCAGGGGATCTTCCTGACCCAGGGGTCAAACCCAGGTCTCCTGCATTGCAGGCAGATTCTTTACCATCTGAGCCATCAGGAGGTCCATTAGGGAGTCTAACCCTATCAGATATTAAATCCAATCTATAATGATTAAATAATTATTATATAATAATTAATGAAGAGGGGTACTGATACATATAGATCACTGAAAGATAGAAGAATCTAGATACAGGTCCAAATGCATATAGGAATTTAGTATATAAGAGCAGCATCTCAAATTTGTTGAGAAAAGATGAGTTTTTCATTAAAAAGCATTAGGAAAATGGGAGGGAATTTTGTATATAATCAATTCCAGATGAACTCAAGATTTAAATGTAAAAAATGAAAACAAAAAATACAGCCAGCAGCTAAGGGAAATGTTCTTTTAATCATCTCAGTGTGGAAAAATTCTTTTTAACTGTGACACAAAACCCAGAAGCCACAAAAATGTATTTTACCACACACAAAGTTAAAATGATAAACTGAAGAAACACAATTTACATCCTGAGAGGCTAGTGTTCCTTACATATGAGTCAAGTGCCAAAAACCAGTGGAGAAATGCGCAAAGATAAGAACCATTCACAAAAAAGACACACAGCTCTTAGGTGTATGAAACAATGCTTGAGCTCACTTGAAAGAAAAAGAAATACAAACTAAACCTTCACCAAGACACGATTTTCTCCTTAGCAGTTTGGCAAACATAAAATAACCTTGTTCCTCGTTGATTGGTGAGTGCTGTGGAAAACAGCCTTCACACAGCTGGAGGCTGGGGAGGTGTTTCAGGCACAGCCCCAACAGATGGACACATGGCAAAGTTCTTCAAGATGACAATTTTGGAGGCTTTCCCTGGTGGTCCAGTGGTTAAGAATCTGCCTGCCAATGCAGGGAATGTGGATTTGATACCTGATCAGGGAACTAAGATCCCACATGCTTCAGGGCAGCTAAGTCCTGAAGTGGTACATTGAGACTACTGAGGTCTCTCACTCTAGAGCCCACATGCCGCAATTAGAGGAGGCTGCATGCCGCAGTGAAAACCCAGTGCCACCAAAAAGTAAATCAAACGGCCCTTTAAAAAAAGATGACAGTTTTGACTTGACCTTTGGCTGAACAATTCTTCTAGGAATTCTCTCTGTTTCCTATTTGAATAATGCTGTTTTTACGAAGTCTTCAGTCAGTTCAGTTCAGTCACTCAGTTCAGTTCAGTTCAGTCGCTCAGTCGTGTCTGACTCTTTGCGACCCCATGAATCGCAGCACGCCAGGCCTCTCTGTCCATCACCAACTCCCGGAGTTTACTCAAACCCATGTCCATCGAGTCGGTGATGCCATCCAACCATTTCATCCTCTGTTGTCCCCTTCTCATTCTGCCCCTAATCCTTCCCAGCATCAGGGTCTTTTCCAATGAGTCAACTCTTCTGAGGTGGCCAAAGCACTGGAGTTTCAGCTTCAGCATCAGTCCTTCCAATGAACACCCAGCACTGATCTCCTTTAGGATGGACAGATCGGATCTCCTTGCAGTCCAAGGGACTCTCAAGAGTCTTCTCCAACACCATAGTTCAAAAGCATCAATTTTTCGGCACTCACTTTCTTCACAGTTCAGCTCTCACATCCATACATGACCACTGGAAAAACCATAGCCTTGACCAGACAGACCCAAATCTCCAGTGCCTCACCCTTTCTGGAAGAGCTGGAGAAGCTGAAAGTTCCCACCCTCTAGATCAGTTTTTTTGGCAACAGCCACCAACCTGAAAAACCTCATTAGCATAAACTCTGGTGTGATCTATAGGAGGTCATTATGAATAACAAGACATTCCTATAACTCTGGAAATTCCAAGGGTATTACTCGCTCTGTGCCAGGAACCAGGGACAAAGACCAAATTTGTATATTTTTATTATACATTTGGTTACATACATTTAGATTCTTTCTCTGGATGGACATAATGATCACTTCCATTGTTTCCAGAAAGGAGAACCAGGTGGCTGGTAGTCAGGGGCAGGAGGTGACTCTTGGTTCAAAATTCAAAACATACATGTGAATATATTACCTATTTGAAAAACTCTTAAAAATACTTTACAGGCCTTGTCTTGGCTTCTAATGTCTGCAGCCTCCAGGCTTCACCGCCATGCTTCTTGGGAGCCACTCAGAGGACAGAGGGGAATTACGTTTAGATTCCTCTGCCACCTGACCCCTTAGACATCTCTGTCTTCTTTCTGTTCCAGATACACTCCCCTTTAACCTTTCTCTACTGATAACACCCACATCTGAGCTCCTTTCTTGAGATCTAGTTCTAAACCCTTCTAGTATTATCTCATCCAAATCTCCAACAGTATCCTTCTTAGTGTAACCCTCATTTTACAGATAGGGAGTAGAGGAGATTAAATCTGTTGTGCTAAAGTCATACAGAAACCTGGATTTTGAACTTAAGCTGTCTGGCACCCAAGACCAAGTCTTAATCACTACTCTAGATGGTCTTTCCAAAAACCCTGTTCCTCACCACCACCACCCGAGCATGGGCAAACTTGACATAGTTCATCACACTATATGGGCTTCTCTGGTGGCTCAGTCAGGAAACAGTCCCTGCAGTGCAGGAGACCTGGGTTCAATCCCTGGGTTGGGAAGATCCCCTGGAGAAGGATATGGCCACCCACTCCAGTATTCTTGCCTGGGAAATCTCATGGACAGAGGAGCCTGGTGGGCTACAGTTCATGGGGTCACAAGAGGCAACTGCAGCCCAGAGCACGGACCAAGGCTCATTCTGAAAACGATCTCACCCTTTAGGCATTTCTAGACTGACTATAGAGCCATTTTCCTTTGGAGCGCTTTTTGGTCCAGTAGGTCCCAGGCCGTCTTCTAAGGACTGCATATAGCTCATCTCATTCAGTTCCATGAGCTCTATGTGGGTCTCAGCATCCACTAAGATTTTAAAGAGGAGAAACAGCGGGATGACTGGTCACCAGTGGGAAGGGAGAGCTATTACAGGGCCTGTGCTCAGGGGTCTCAACCACTGGTACCTAAATCTGGCAGACCCCCCCTCTCTCCAAAACTCCCTCCCTACCCCGACCCTGGGTGAAGGACCCAGACCAGGGTCTAAGCACAGCCGGTGTCCTGTGGGCATGAATTTATTAGAGGAGTCAGGTCAGAGTGGGTACAAGTTGCAGGTTGGGAGGAAGGGGCAGGAGGCATGGGCAGCACCGCCAGCCTGAGGCCAAGAAGACAGGAGGCTGTAGGGGCCACAGTCAGTAGAGCACTGGGCCAGCAGGCAAGCAGACGGGCTGTTCACCCTGCGAGTGTCAGCGCCGAGGGCACAGCAGCAGCTTAGAGAAGACTGGGGGAGGAAGGACAGAGAGCTGCTCAGAGGAAGCCTGCCAAGCTCACACAGCGCGGGGGTGCAGAGCCGGACACATGCCCAAGCCTGCTGGGCCCCAGGCGCCATGCCCCTCCTTCCCATTCTGTTGGGCTCCACACCTGCCTCCCAGCTCCTCCCGGCTCCCCTCCAGCTTCTATCCCCTACTCACTGTGGAGGGTGTAGGTGCCTGGCTCCAGCGGCAGCTGGGTGGGCAGGACAATGAGGAAGCCCCTACGCCAGGGCCAAGCTTGGGATGAAGGGCGCTGCCACTCAGCATTGTAGGAAAGGCACTTGGATAAGACAGGCAAGGGGCGCAGGCAGCAGAGCCTGTGATGAGGGGGCAAGGCACAAAGAGAACAGTGGGGTGGCGAGAGGCCGGGGCCCCGGGGGAGGGGGATCTGGGCCTTTGGGAAGCTCCTTTGAGCCCTGCCATGGTGGGGGTGCCGCTCCCGAGTCCAGGCCCAGTGCGTCGGCTCCTTGGCCATGACCTGCATGAGAAGAGTGGATGGTAAGTGGGAGGTGGGAGGTCCAGCCTCTTTCCCCCACCCTGGGATGCTGGTGGGGGGAGGGGCTCACCTCTTCGCAGCTCTGACGTCTCACAACAGCCCTGAAGCCCATCCGTGCCCACAGCTTGTCCCTCTGATGCAGGAAGTCTGACACTTGATGACGCCAATCTTGGCCCAGGGCCCACGGAAAAATCACGCTTTTGGGGTCCTCCAGGTCTTCCTCCATGTCATTTGCAAGGTACCTGGCCACAGAGGTGGGGAACAGGGGGAACAGAGGCTGTAAGCATCTGCCCTACCCCCACCCTTTGACTCCAAGTGCGCATCCTCCCCAGCCACCCGGGCCACTCACAGTGCCAGGAACAGATTGCTGTGGGTGTACTCGCTGAGCTGCAGGTTGGCACGCCGGAAGTAGACAAGCACCATGGACAGGAGGTACTGCAGACACAGATGGGGAGAGTTAGAGCGGGGCACTGTGGGCAGGGGAGGGGGCTGTGCCAGCCCCATCAAGCAGGTTCTGGGTGGCGAGGAGGCCTAGAAAATCCAGGGTAAAATGGTGCCGGGGGACCTGCAAAGACAAGGGCTTAAAATGAAGGTGCTCCCTGCACCAGACCAGGGGACCCAATGCATAAGCTGCACTCAGGCCCCACTAATTCAATGTTCCCCGAGAGAGCCTGGACTCTCCCCCCACTCACCTTGTCTGAAATCTGGAAACAGGGATCTTTGGAGAGGAAATCCTGGAGGAAACTGTGCTCTGGGGGAGAGACAGGAGAAACGGTAGACTGGGGTTACCACCCTCACCCCATGAGATGAGAGCAGCATTCTAAGTTCCAAAGCCCGAGCCCCCACTGAACCCACTTTCTGACATTTCTGACATGAACGCCCCACCCCCACCCCAACCTGCCAAACCGGAGTCACCTGAGAAGGGCTGGCCGGGACCGAGACATGGGCAGGCTGAGATCCCACCTCTCACATCAGTTCGCACGTGGTCCTCGCAGTCCTCCCTGTACCACCCCCAAGTGGACTCACCCAGAAGGTGGAGGAAGGCCTGGAGCTCCTGGTGTCTGCGGAGGTGGGAAGACTCATCACCCTCACCTTGACGGCTCCAGCCCCTCAGCTTCACCTGGGTGCCAGCTCCAGGGACTGTGGCCGGGTCTTGGGCATCGCTCATCTCTTGGGGGGTTGGGGGTGGGTGGGGTGGGGTGGGACAGGGTGACCTGTAAAGAAAGCAGCCCCAGGACTTAGCATCTACCCCATTAGCCCCGCACAGGTCAAGGGGATCAGTGTGGCTGGCCTGACAGACGACCTCCAGAAGGTGGAGGGGTGGGCATGGAGAAACAGGGGTGGGAGTGGTGGTGAGGAGACAAGAAAAGCAGCAGAATTCCTGGGGGCTACAGCACCCTCAACCCTCCTGCTGGCACTGCAGACCAGGCCAGAGAGTAACAGCAGCAGTAAGGAGCGCCTCTGAGGGTTTCCTAAGTGCCTGGAGCTGTGTTAAATGCTTTAACTTATTTCGTCCTGGTAAGTAGATCCATTTTGCAAACATGGAAACTGAAGCATGGTGGTTTCACAGCCACTTCAAGGTTGATCCTGTCTGACCCCAAAGCCAGAGACTCACGGCGCCTCTTGCCACCCAATTCACAACCATCCCCTCACCCTTCATCAAGCAGCCCTGAAAAAACCAGCAGACCATTACTTCACAGAGGGAAAACTGAAGCCCAGAGACAGGAACGTTATTAAACAAAAATACTGGGGTTTAGGGGGAGTTTTGAGGTGGAGCCACCGCAAATATTTGGAGCTACAAAGAGACTCCAACTACAGGGCTCGGGGGAGGGACCCCTCCAAAACGGCTTGGTCAACCTAGGGGCCTCCATCTAAGTTCCCACAGGTAAGCCCAGCCTCCTCCTTCCGGAAGACTTACCTGAGCTCAGGAGAGTTAACCTACAGCGTAACTCCAAGCCCAGTGAGTGCGTTTATATAGCCCCAGCGCTGCCCCGCCCTAGAAGCCCTCCACCAATCAGGCCCCTTTCCCAGGGGAAAAGGTGTGGCTTCTCGTCATCACCACTCACCTCTACTTGGAGTTAACCCAGTCAGTCTCCACCGCGCACCTCCCAGCTGCGGCTCTCCTGGGTAAGGCTTCTCTCAAGTTTCATCACCTACAAGAGGGGTGAGGGCAGCCAGCGGGACCCCAGGGCCAGAAAGGCAGCAGGAGCCCCTCTCCGCTCTTTACAAACGCATTGCCCAGGTGCAGGACCTAGAATGCTACCAACCTGGGTTGTGGCGCGTGGCTGATGAGTAAATTATAAATATTCAGTGATTGTGCCTTGCTGGGGAAGGGTCGCTGGTTGTGTCTGTGTTTATTACAGATACAGGAATCCCCAAACCTGGGAACCAGAGAGGAGATTGTCTTGGAGTGAGAATTCCCTGGGGCCACATCCCCATTCCAAGGTCCTTTAGGGATATGAGAGTCCCACTAGCGGCTCCAAAGTGGAGAAGGAAGGCTTTGCCCAGGAGCACCTAGTTCAACCCCTCCACCCCGCGTCCCCCCGCGCCCCACCAAGCAGACCTTAAGCCTTTCCATCTTCACTGACTCAGTTACTCTTTACTCTTTAGTTTTATAGGACAGTCAGCACCTACATGTGACAGGTGACTTCTCCCCCCCTTTTTTTCCTGTAATAAAATACACATAACTTAACTTGAACAATATGTACTGCCTTAACACCCTTTCAGTTCACATTTTTAAGTACTCACGAAACAATAGCTCCCCATTTCAAAACTTCCAACTGAGGACTTGGGGGATAAGAAGAAAGAGGATATTAAGCTCGAGGTCATTGAACAGGAAAGCAGTGAGATTCACTTTAGAGTGAAAATGATGACACATCTCAAGAAACTCAAAGAATCATAATGGGTTCCCAGGAATTCAGTCAGGTTTCTCTTTGAAGATCAGAGAATTGCTGATGATCACACTCCAAAAGAACTGGGAGGGGCTTCCCTGGTGGCTCAGTGGTGAAGAATCCACCTGCCAGTGCAGGGGACTCGGGTTTGATCCCTGATCTGGGCAGATCCCACCTGCTGCAGAGCAACGAAGCCCAGGCACCACGACGATTGAGCCTGTGCTCTAGAGCCCTCGAGCCACAACTGGTGAGCCCACGTGCTGCAACTGCTGAAGCCTGTTCACTCTAGAGCCCGGGCTCTGTTCCTAACAAGAAAAGCCACCGCAGTGAGAGGCCCTCGAACCGCAAGTTGAGAGTAACCCTTGCTCTCCGCGACTAGAGGAATACCCTCGCAGCAGCGAAGACCCAGCACAGCCAAAAAGAAAATAAATTAATTTTTTTAAAAAGAACTGGGAATGGAAGAAGAAGATGTGATCTTTTAAAAATAGTCCTTTTAGTAAAATACAAACTTGTATATTAACTAATATGTGTGGAATCTAGAAAAATGCTATAGATGATCTTATTTGCAAAACAGAAATAGAGACACAGATGTAGAGAACAAATGTATGGACATCAAGAGGGGGAGCGGGGGATGGGGTGAATTGGAAGATGGGAATGACGTATAAACACCATTGACACTATGTATAAAAGAGATAACTAATGAGAACCTACTGTGTAGCTAAGGGAGCTCTACTCAGCGCTCTGTGAGGACCTAAATGGGAAAGAAATCCAAAAAAGAGGGGATGTATGTATACATGGGCTTCCCAGGTGGCTCATTGGTAAAGAATCTGCCTGCCAATGCAGGAGATGTAGGAGACACAGGTTCGATTCCTGGGTCGCAAAGATCCCCTGGAAGAGGAAATAGCAACTCACTCCAGTATTCTTGCCTGGAAAACTCCATGAACAGAGGAACCTGGTGGGCTACAGTCCATGGAGTCGCAAAGAGACATGACTGAGTTACTGAGCATGTGTGCATATATATATATATATATGTATAGCTGATTCACTTTGCTGTAGAATAGAGGATGAGGTGGCTGGTTATCTTCATTGACTCAGTGGACATGAATCTGATCAAACACTGAGAGATAGTGAAGGACAGGGAAGCCTGGTGTGCTGCAGTCCATAGGATCACAAAGAATCGGACATGACTTAGAGACTGAACAGTAACAGCAATAGAAACTAACACAGCATTGTAAAGCAACTATGTTGTTGTTTAGTTGCTAAGTAATGTCTGGCTCTTTTGCAACCCATGGACTGTAGTCTGCCCAGCTCCTCTGTCCATGGGATTTCCCAGGCAAGAACACTGGAGTAGGTTGCCATTTTCTTCTCCAGAGGGTCTTCCCTACCCAGGGATCAAACACAAGTCTTCTTCATTGGCAGGCAGATTCTTGACCACTGAGCCACCAAGGAAGCCAGAGCAACTATACTTCAATAACAATTTTTAAAAGCAAGTAAAACACACACTTTTAAACTATAGCACATATTTGATCATCATCTGCAGTCATCTCGCTTCCTTATTTACTTACTTCTCATGCGTTTTCCCCACCAGGTCACTGCCTTCAGAACAGGCACCTTGTCAGCCTTATCAGCCCCCAGACCCTCTGTGCTGACTCAGAGCCTGCTGTTGCTCACATTTGGATGAATGAATGGCTTACAAGGCCCTTGTGAATCTCTCCAAGAGCACCCCAACCCTACCCTCCATCACCATCCTCCAGCTACAGCAGCTTCTTTCAGTTCTCCTGTCAACTCTTTCCTCCCCCACTCCACCCCCTGTTGCCCCAGGACCCTCATACATGTTGCCCCCTCCCAAAAGGACAAGTGTCCTTCCTTCTGGGAGGACGCTGCTTCCTGCTCCATGTATGCTTACCCATGTGGTTTGCTTCAGGCAGTGGAATTTGAGCAGAAATCCTTTATGCCACATCTCAGTAGAAGCTTTAAGAGCTCCAAGGTGGTTCTGTCTTTCCTCTTTTCCATCTGCCCTGGGTCAAGTGTACCTCCAGGTAGTGGTAGCCTCTCTAGCCTGGGGTCTAGAATAAAGACAACATGGGGACTTCCCTGGTGGTCCAGTGGTTAAAATTTGGTGCTTCCACTGTAGGTGTCTCAGGTTCAATCCCTGGTCAGGGAACTCAGACCCCACATGCTGTGTGGCATGCCAAAAAACAAACAAACACACACATTCAAGCTAAACAGTAAAGGACGTATATAATATGGTTAGGAAATAAACTTTTTGAAAATGCTAAAGGAAATTCTCTAGGCAGGAAACACAAGAGAAGAAAAAGACCTACAAAAAATAAACCCAAAACAGTTAAGAAAATGGTAATAGGATCATACATATCAATAATTACTTTAAATGTAAATGGATTAAATGTACCAACCAAAAGACAGACTGGCTGGGTGGTTGAAAATGTGCATGTATGCACTTCCACTTACCACAGTACTCTGCTTGACCTCTCAAATTGTATGTAATATTTTATATTGTTAGGTTAATCATGTTCCCGATATGGCTTGAAACTTTAACTATCTTTTATTTTTTGTCTGGCTACTGATTGTGAAAACTTATAAACACCTTTTACTATAATGATTGTGTAACCATTACTCACTTAATACCATTATATTATGATTGGTCAACAGGAAAATAATAGAACTCTGTATCACCAAAACTACTATTTAGTAGAAAAATCTGTAATCACTTTTTAAAAATCCAGATGCAAAAAAAATAAAATAAAATAAAAATAAAAATCCAGATGCATATAAGCTTTATCTTGGAAGTTTTTGAAAACTACAAATGCTCATGTATTGCTTTTTTTCTTCAAAGTTTGAGGCATGTTTCTAATGAGCAGCCATGTTTAAAAACAACTGGACTATGTGAGGATCTTTTACTTTTAACTACTTCATTTCACTTTTTCTCTTTTATATTCAGTGCTGCCATTTCATTTAGTTTATGTATTCCAGTTTCTCCATCTCTTTTTTGTTTATGTTCTTTCTCAAGCTTTTATCAAGTGTGGTAGAAAAGCTTTTGTATACATTATAAATTTTTTTTAAATTAGAAATCTAGAAATTAATTTTTAATTAAAAAAATTTAATTAGACAAAAATTCATGTTTTCTAAAAAATATGTATTACACATACCTATTAAATTTTAAAAATTTATGACATTTTGATTCTACTTGTTTGACTTAGTATGAACAGAATGCTAGATTTCTAATTTAAAAAATAGATATACAAACAGCAATGTTTTA